AATGTCTTTAAATGAGTCTGAACTGTTAAATGCCCATGCTTTCTAAAATAATACAAAGTTACCCTACTAAGACAAATTTCTCACCTTGAGAGACAGGATCCAAAGTACAATTGTGAATTTAAGAGCTCTGTGATATATCGACGTCAACATTGTCAACAAAGAACAGCACAGACACTGTCCCCAAATACATGTTACAGAAGTTGACTCACTTACTGGGCTTGAAGTATGAAATACATGTGCAAGTTAGTCTATGGAGAAAAGAAAACAATTGTATGGAGGGCTGAATGCATGATGACAGATTAACTATTATTAGACTTGAAAAGAAGGGCCTAATCAAGTGCACGGGATGGAGTTGGGTGGCTTGCTCTAGAACATCTCCAATCCTGCTCTCCCCCCAGTAGGAAGAGCCCTGTAGAGGGAGTTAGAGGCATGCCTCACTTTCTGGTCTGCCTCTCGAGCTGCTGGCCAAGTCCAGGGCCTTGTGTGAAGGTAAGCAGGAAAGGCAGCTTATTTTTACCTGTTACTTGTGCACCAAATTCGTTTTCAGGTTAGCAGATCTGCCCATGCAATCAGAATTTGATTTTTCAGATTTTTCTGAAAAGGGGATCTTTTTCAATTTCTGAACTCCTCCGGGGCAGTGGGGTAAGGAGGAGAAAAGGTGAGACAATGGTACAGGGTGGTGTTCTCTAGTCAGCCGTGGGAATGGCGTAGGCCATTTCCCTTACTCTGCGCATCCCAGTGTGAAATTAAATAGTCAGAGGTCAGTGGCTGGGCCAGAATCAAGAGGACTAACAGATGAGGACCTTTTAGTAGACTTTGTGGGACGTTGCAGGAAAAAATAAGTACTGAGAGCCCATCATCACAGTGTCTGAGGACAAAGGCCTCTCCCTCCACCTTCCTGTGTCTCAAACTTAACCTCCAGAATTTGAAACCACAGGAAGACATGGAAGAGAGACAGGACTTAGGTGACACAGATCCAGAGCCTGGAGTGAGAGCAGTGTGGCCTGTTCAGTTTTAATCTAGTTTTGCACCAGCACCATTGGAGGTGGATATATTTATGAACTCATCAGATATTCTCTTCAGTCTCTATCAATGTATGCGGCATGGTATGAGGTCCTGTCCTTTTCAGTGGGTTGTGAGGGGTCAGAGATAGCCTTGGGAAAAGTTTGGTACTCTGTAGAAATGTCTGCAATACTAAGAACTTGGAGAAATCAACCAGAGAGGCAGAGAATTACTTTAAGGCCTTCATAGAACAAATAGGCAACTTTGTAAGGAGTAGAATTCATTTTTAAAGTAACTCCAAAATCTCCAGCATGCCTCCAGCTAGCATTTAACACATTATTTACTGGAAAACACACAGTGAAAAAAACACATAGAGCTTAGTCTATTTACAATCTATCAATGGAAACAGCCATTAGCTATTTAAATCTGAAAAAAGATCTTTTATTATTCATTATTAAGTACTCTCTGCTATAGATTTACTCTGCATACTCAACTTTCTTCATTTCCCATAATCATCCATGACATGGTTTAAGAATCTACCTCCCTGCTCAAATCTTGTTCACTTATTTGGCCTTGAGTGCCTCTCTCTACCACTCGGTTTAGCTAGTATGCCACTTCCTCTCAGTTAGACCACCAGCTCCTTGAGACACCAACTTACATGTTTCCTATTTGCTTGCATAGGTTGGTGATGATCACAGGCTGCTAGAGCAAACTAGACAAAAGATACATGTACTTTCCTGTTAACAGCCCATGGTACAGCACATCTCGGCTCCCAGTTTCTGGTTAGGGTGCTAGTGTCAATAGCAGAAGCCTCTGGATAGGGCAGAAGGCGGGGGAACACGGATCCTGGAAGAAAATGAGCACTGGCCTTTCTTCACAGTGGATATCCCCCGAACCTTCACATCAGGCCCTATAAGGCCCTGTCTGTTCTCTCATCACTTCTTGCTTGCCCCTCATAAGTCGGGGACGTGAGTCATATAGAGGTTCAGACCCCAGGACACTGGTTCTAAGTACCTATATAATGGGCTCAGCTATCTTGGGGTTTCCTTCCTTAGGTACTCAATTCCAAGAAATGTAGGAGGACCAGGCACCCTAAGTGACTTGAGGGAAAGGAACAGGAGATAACAAAGAACACTGATTTGGAGCACAGATTCTAGAGACTGTCTGGGTTTGGATCCTGACTTCCATTTAGTTAGCGGTGTGACCCTGGACAAGTCACTTAACTATTGTGTATACTTCAGCCTCCTTATCTGGACAGTGGGATACCTCCATAGGCCTGATGTCATGTTTGAATTATTTAATCTGTATAAAGCATGGGGACCACTGTCTGGCTCCTATGTACGCTGTATCACTGTTAGCAGCAGTCACACTATGTAAGGGGCCAGGACAATGCCCCATGGGACTCTCTCCAACAGGCTGGGGGAGGGAAGAGAGGAGGAAATAGGAACCACAGAAGGCTAAGGCACTGGTTCTCAAAGTGTAGGTGGGAGGTATACCAGGGAACCTGTTAGAAACGCAAATTCTGGGATCCCTCCCTAGATCAATGAATTAGAAATTTTAAACCCCTCTTCGAGTGATTTGTGTCCAGGCTGAAGTGTGAGGACCACTGGTGAAAGGAACTAAGAACAAAACCATGACCTCCATTTTCCAGGTTTGAATGACTAGCAGGTTAAGGATGATGTGAAATCCCACATGGGAAAAAACAGTTTCGTAACAGGTGTGGAAGGGTTGAGGAGAATCCATTCCAACAGGGGCAGGGGCCTATTTATAAGAGGAAGCTGTGGATAAAAAACAAAACAAAAAACCCACAAAGAAACAAGCATAATCAGCCTAGGAAAGGCTGATCTCTTGTTTTCCATGCACAGCAATGCTAGAAGGAGGGGTAGTGACTTCTAAGGTGAGGCAGGTGGCCATGATTTGGTCACCTTGGGTTTTAAGAACAACGAAGTCTGGCCAGGCTTGTGAATAAAGTTCTTGTATGCATAAATAAATAAATTTTTTTAAAAAAAGAAAACAAACAAAAAAAGGTGAGACTTCCCATTTTTGAAGCTTCCTTCCATAGACTCATCCCCTTACAAACTACCCCGATGTACATCACCCTGATTTCTGCGCTGCTCCAGCAAAGAGGGTTGAGATGGGTCTGTGGGAGACCTAGACAGGCACGGACCTCCCAGACAGGACGTTTTCTCTAAATGGTTGCTCTGGAGAGCTGTTTGGTGAAGAAGTTATTAACTCACTGGTTTGACGATTGAACCACGAGACAGGCAGCAACAGGAGCAAAATTCTCTTGATTAGAGGACCATAATATTTTGCTGAGTTTGGGGGGGAGGGCACAGACGCTGTACAGGTTATATGGAGCTGAACACATTACAGTTGAACCAGATGTTAGGTGAAAAGATGTGAGTTGATGGAATTATCACATAAGGGATTGCTCCATCTCCTCCCGCTCCACTTTGTCCTCCTCCTTTTCTTCCCTCCTCTGGTGTCCACTGAGCACAGCTCGTCATTATTGAGTGTCCAGTGGGTATTGTGATGTCAGAGGTGTCACCCACCATGGGAGATGGCCCGGCAGAGACGAGCAGCCTGGTCCTGTCTAGGGACACGTGACCCAAACGGGAGAGCCTGCGACACCAGCTGATGTGATGTGGTGTTCCCTCTGATTACCTGATAACCTCTCACACCTCTCCTGAAGTTCTAATCATTTCCTCTCCAAACCAATATGGCTCTTCAGGGAAACTGAGGTACACAGAAACCTGCCCAGGTTCACACAGCAATAACCTGACATGGCTGTGAATACTGCCAGGGCCTCCTGACCACTTGTCCAACCAGTACAGGGGAACTTGTTGCCTTTTATAGAAAGTTTCCACACACCTTCTATTCCTAACCTCTATCACAATCATGGCCGGTCCACATGCTCTGGAAAGCACCAGCCGACTCTTCTGTGACACAGACTTAGTAAGGCGCCCATTTAGGACCATGAATATAACTTGTTTGCTTGACAACTGAATTCTAGATAATTCTTCTCGGACTGCTCTTTTGTTTTTATTTCAAACACAACTAACTCATCAGGACTTCATATGTCAAGAAAGCTGACTTTTGATTCTGCAAGAAAAATCAGCAGCTTACCACACACAACCCTTCCTGATTCTCCCCAAGATGCCTAGAAGGTTAAGAGTCTGAGTTGGGGGGTAGGAAGAACATTTTGTTCCTACCTGCCGCTGATGGGAGCATGATGTGTCTTATTTTTGCAAGCTGACATTTACAGTAACAGTGCTGAGAAAACCAAAGATAATCTAATAGTTTTCAAGTGTATATACTTTATCTGAAGGTCTTGACCTTGAGATCCAAAATGGGTAGAGCCTTTGGAAGAAAAGGAAGCCACCCCTGGGACTAAGATCTGAAGGTGAAGGTGAAGAACAGATACATAACCTTTAGCACCCGGCCGGCTCCACTAATCACTGAACAGATTCCAGCACCTAAATAACCCCCGGAAAGCACACACATGGGAAGAGCTGGCTCATTTATGAAACATCAGATGGGCCAAGACAGGGAGAGTTCATCAACCAATAAGGTGGCTGGGTTTCTCAACAGGACAGAAGTACATTTCAACCATGTAGTAAATAAAATAAAACTCCATTGTAAAAGAGCCCCGACTCTCCTCCATGTGATCTGCCTTTGCTGCCTCCTCATGTGACTGGCCTCCCAATTTAGAGTGTAACCAACTCCCAATGACCTGTAATAACACCATTCCCAAATTAGAGCTCTCAATTTGACTTGGCCTTGATCCCTCCCTCAGAGCAAAATAAAGCATCCGTTTTCTTTTTTTCACATTCATAATACTCTCCTTTTTGAGTTGCCAACTCAAACCCTGCTCCAGTCAGATTGAGCCCTTTCTCTCTCTCTCTCTCTCTTTTTTTTTCTGGTTAGCCAAAGAGCCTGATGGAAAAACACCAAGAGACAAAAACAAAAACAAAATCAGACGAAAATTCCAAGTAAGTGACATTCAGCTGGAAAAGCTCTGATTCACATGCAAATAAAAATCTCCCTGAATTCGCTGTTACATGACGCAAGCTCCTGGCATTGACATAAAAGGGCAGAATGAAATCACCCACAATTAAACTCACTTTGGAATACTGGAATTTGCTGGCTAGGCCTCCCCACAAATGATAAGAAAAGCCCCAACTGTAACAGAATGAAGCTGATTGTGTTGGATCCCAGGGCATTCCCGCTTGGACTGAGCCACGCCTGAGCACCCCAGTCTGGGGCTGTCTGCCATTCTTGCTCCCTGACCTGTGTTCAGCATCATCTATCTGGAAGTGGGGTTCAGAGGTCTTCCTCAGGGAGATCTTCCCTTCTGGGTTGAGACCCTACTTTCACCCCGAACCCTTGCCCTAGTGTAAGCTGGGGACATCTCCCAAGACTAGACAGAGCCTTCACCTGAGCTTCACAGCATTATCACACTCTGATCTGAAGCCCAGGCCAGAGGCCTTCAGTAAGTCTTTTCTCCCCACTGGTAGATAGTTTACCACCCTACTTCCCCTTTTTCTCCTCAGGGGAAGGTTGATCGGAAACCACTTTCTTTTTCTCCAGATGGTTCCTTAGAATGCATGCTCCATCTGCCTGAGAACAAGAGAATTCTGGAGACAGAACACTGAGATTTTCTGGCCTTTCACTAGCTGGCCTTTCACTAGTCCCCACCCCAAGATTCTCTGCTGAGGGCCAACCAGGGTGAGTACTTGTGTGCATCAAAGAGAGCTAGGATTGTGAAAGCTTCTGTAAATTCAACTCAGGTAGATTTTTCAGTAACCACAAAGAATAAATCTACAAACATATATGTATGCTTGCCAAGTTCATAGCATTATTCAAAATGGCCAAAAGGTAGAGATAACTCAAATGTCCATTAATAGATGCATGGATAAACTAACAAAAAAAAGTGGTATTATATACAGTGAAATATTATTCAGCCTTCAAAAAGGAAATTCTGGCACATGCTACCACAGGGATGAATGCTGAGAACATCACGCTAAGTCAGAGAAGGCCCCAAGGGACAAGTATTGTATGATTCCTTTTATTCTCAGAGACAGAGGTTGAAGAATAGTTACCAGAGGTTGAGGAGAATGGGAGTTGTTTAATGTGGAGAGTTTGTGTTTAGGAGATGAGAAGATTCTGGAAATGGACAATGTAGTCGTAGCACAATATTATGACTATACTAATATAACTTTCATAGAAACTTAATTGAAAATGTTAAAATGGCAAATCTGATGTATATTTTACCACAAACAAATACCAAAATCATCCCTACTTACCCTTTCACAAGAAAACAATCCCCCTAAATTTTCTTTTCCATGCTAAAAATCCCCTGTTCCTTCTAATAATCTTTAGGCAAAATGATTTCTAGATACCCCATGACCTCCTGACCACCGTTCTCCGGGTCAACTCAATGTCTCTTTCGATCTGGTACTCAGAACTGATCACAGGCTGTGCTCGGTCACTTCCTCCATCTGAGGCACCCCATTTGCCCTTACTCAAAAGCTGCAGCATGGGCCTACTTGACTGCGTGCTTTGGCTGCTAGGAAAAAGGTCCAGGTTGAACTAAATAGAAAACATGGCATAACACACCTGCTGCTGCTGCTTTCCCAGGCCCAGATCTACCTTCCAGACTGTAGTGGGCAGCTGCAGGGGCAATGAGGGGTCTGGGGGGTGGACAGCATCTCAGCTAACCACACTCTGACCTTTCCATAGATTCCCCTAATTTCTCTGGGGTGTTTGGTAAATGGCAATGCGGGCCATGGGAAGCATCTCTGTCTAGGAGCCTGGGGATGTCTCTTATCAGCCACCCAGCACAGTCCTCACTGCTGGGCTGGACACACTCTATCCTCTGTCCATATGGAAAAGGTTTGAAAGCTTGAGGCAGGAAAGTTCTCTTTTGCATTTTAAAATATGTTGAAACTGAGCAGCCTGGGTGTTGGTCTGATTCCACAAGTGAGTAATCCATTTCCTGAAAGTAAACTGCTCACCCTTTGGAAGTAGACCAGAGATTTTGGGGTGCTGTTTAAAGTGTCACTAACATGGTAAATATTTACTGGCACAAACCATGGAGCTTTTCTAGGAATGCCAGTTAATTTGCTAAATTAATGACCCCTAAGGTGACACCTTTAAAAACAAATTAATTCTTCTCTAATGGGTGAGTGATTTGTGACTGGGACAAGGTATTAGGGCGGGGGGAGGGTGTGCTTCACTGACTAGTTAGAATAACCACAAATAAATTAAAACCAGGCCAGCCATTAGATTCTCTACCTTCTAACTTTTCTCGACTTCTGATTTCCTATTTATATCTCAGCCAGTAATGGGTTGACTTTGGAAAACTGTTCCTTATGCCAATATTTTGCCTGGAGCTCGAAAAGATGGGGTTTGAAAAATTCCTTTTCTGTGAGTCTGACTCCATACGGGAGATCTTAGCCCACCACTCACTAACAGACTGTGCCCATCTGGATCTACCTGAGATGGGCCTCCCATTCTCCCATGTGGAACCGTGTAGACTTCAGTCAGCTGACTTCAAAAAGCCTTTTGCCTTAAAGAATACAAAGGTGATTTCTTTCTGGTCCAAATGATTATTTAAACAATCCTTTTCCACAGGCTCCTGTGCTATCTTCTCTTCCTTCTTCATGAAACAGGAACTCTGCTGGAGCAATCTAATCTTTCTCATTAAAAAGATGCCGACAGATGATGTTTTCAGGGTTCCTTTGAGGAGAGGATGGCTTTGACTTGGGAATAAATCTAGCTGAGAAATGATACTCAATAGAAGAACCATGGAAGCTTGTGGAGTTGACAGAGGAAAGGTCATTCTGGATTCCTGATTTTACCATCAGCCTCCCACCTGTCAAGGTCTCTCCACCTCTCTCAGAATGAGCCCTCTTAGTAAAGAACTTAAGAATCATATGTGTCTGTGTTGGGCTCTAGCATCAGCCACCTATATGATCTTTCTAGATAGACTTGGGGATTTTCTGACTCTCTCTGGACCCTGTGTTCAGATTCTGTCCCACCTCACAACTGCTTATGCTCAGGTTTTAGGCCAACTCTACCAGATCTCCAGTGATCACATGCCACTAACTTGACACCCCATCCTGACAGGGGCACCCCGGGGAGGGTCCACCTGTGACAGCACTGCCCAGTGACTGGGAATGGAAGAAAACAACATGCTGGCCACCGAGAACAGAGGGTTAGTAACCCAGGTAATCAGCAACACTGAGCTGGAGCCTTTCTTAGCTTCGATGTCCTTCCTTCCCACAGAGAAGGGCTTCTGTTCAAACAAGGCATCGAACATTTAAAAAACAGAGCTAGCCCACATTATTAGTAGAGTGGGGATTTGGTCTAAGTTTATTTCCTTTTGTGCTTTAACTTGGCAATGCTTATTCTCCATTGCATTATCTCTTTTATTTGCCTTTTTAAGAATGCAGCTGCCATCAGAGTGCAGACCCAGAGCAGAACATCTTAGGACTTGATTATGTGCTGAGAAGCTCCAGCTTAAATACTTTTTGGAACAAAAGTAAATGCTTAAAATATAACTGATAATCAGCAACCACTAATATCAGCAGGGAAACAAATAACTGGGAAATGATGGAGGATTCACAAGATGAGCCTTTATTGGCATGGAGGAGTGCTAGTTGAGATGTAGGGACACAAATATGGTGTGCTTGTCACTCAGCTGCCACTGGCACCAGGGAAATCACCTTGTTTTATTTTTATGTGACTCCCTCTTATACAGGCTTGGCCCGGAGAGTTGAAGAGCCTTTAGGGAGAGCAAATGGAATGAAAAATAGAGATAGCAGGAAGCTCAGAGAGTTTTCCAGGTCATGGGAATAAGTACAACTTACAGGCTTTTCTCCTATAAACTCACACCTCAAGGGTTTTTCCATGCATATGGCAGATACTCCACCATCCAAATATTCAAGGCCATGTAGTGGGATGAGAACAGGGCTCCTTTTTCATCTAGGATTCCTGAACCACACACCTCTTCAATGGAATACCCACCTCAGAAATATGTTCATAATATTCACCCCTACGCTTCCTGTAAGGCCTGTGACCAACCATAGTGTGTTATGACAGCATCATTATTTTATGCTCTTTCTTCAACAGCTCTGTGTTTCTTCTGAAAGCAGATCTTGCATCAGTCATAAATCTTTCCATCATCTGGAGCAGAGGTCTGCCACAGCTTATTTCTACTGTTTGTCTTTTGGGAGATTTCCAGTTCTCATTTTGTTTCAACTTAAAGAAACTGCTGAACTGCTGTTCCAGCATATTTTTCCTTTAGAGTCCCATCAAGAAGTAACTTTTCCAAAGTTACCAGGTCCCTAACACAGAATGAGCGACACCCACAGATAATTACATTGACCTCTTCAACCTCTGACTTACTCACTTTATTAATATCTACATCTGTGGAATACCTTTTTTTTTTTTTACAAAATCTCTTTCTAAACATTATCATACCTAAATAGCAAAATGAGCATTCCCCGGGCAGGTAGGTAGTAAGAAAACTGAGGCTCATGCCTGAGTCCTCCCCAAGCAGCCCCAGCTCCTGCTCACTGGCCCGGCCTGGTGGTCACTGTCCTCTCACTGTGAGGCTAAGGTCTGCTGGTCATCTACACAGTGCAGCCTGACCAGTTAGCTTATGTTTTCTTGGGTCTTCCTACAAATGAATCTAATGCTGGATGGACACTAGGAATTTGATAGTATTTTTAAAGAGCAAATCCCAGCATGTCTCAAAAGCAATAGAGAATCATATTCTCAAAGCAAATAAGACATTGCTTTATTCTTCTTTCTCTGGCCTTGCTGGCAGGCAGGGTGTGAGTGAATTGGGTGTGTCGAGCGAGGGGAGAAGAGGCTCCAGAACATACCATTATGATTATCTAACAATAATAACACTCTCCCTGGCAATGTCAACTGCAAAGATTAAAAGCAGGAGGTTTCTTTTACTCTACATGGCAACAGCCCCTGGAGTGAAAAAAAAAAAAAGTCAAGGAATAAATTGGTTCATTAGGTATCGGTGATGCTGGTTATGCTGATTAAGTTTTCTTCAAACCTTAACATTACCAACTGAAGAATGTGCTTTAGGGGAGGTTTTTGGATCTTGTTTCAACTAAGAAACACTTTTCAAGTTTCTAGAAAAGGATATTTAACAAATGTGAGTATATTTAAGTCACCTAAGTTTAGTTAACATTCCCTTACAACAGCCATAACAAAAAGGAATCAGGTGCTAAGAAGGCCTCAGTCCCCACATGACAACCTGAGACATTATCTTTGCTCTCAGTCCAGAGACATGCACAACCCGTGTCTCCACCACCAGCCTAAAAATGACACCACACTGTGAAGTAACAAGTCAGCAGCTGGTGTGTTTAAAAAATGAGTGGCAATTATTAAGGCCCAAGTCACCAGGCATTGTCTTGTTCATTTTTGCTCATATTTTGAGAAGTGATTTTTTTTCTCCAAACAGAGAAAGTAAAACAGTGGTCGCAATACTGAGACAGTAACTGCCACTTTTCACTTGCATAATTCCTATTCTACAACTATAAGTAGCCTATGAGAAGATTTCTGCACAGACAAATACACAGTGACCTCAGCTATGCTGTAAGATACAACCCTGCAATGGATGATGGTGGTGGGTTCACCAAGAGTCAGCAGTGGCAAGAAGGTAAGGGAGTATGGCCCTGGTGGGGCTCTGAATACACGTG